AGGACACGCAGTGGGAACTCGCGAGGCAACACCATCCAGTACTGGCGCAGACTGCTGAAAGAAGCGGGACATGAAGACGACAACAGCGAGAACCTCACCAACGACCGGAAACGATGGAAGAAGACCGTTACAGATCGCAGGACGTTCCTCAAAAACTGGGAGACGCAAATGTGCAACTGGCACAGAGGATCGGAAAAACCGGCCCGCTCACAATGGAATAGAGAGAGAATAAGTGACAGCGGTTGGCCTTGCCGCTGGGACGGATGCGACAAGATGTGCGCAACAAAAGGAGGACGGACGAATCACGAGAGAAAAGCACACAGAAGGGAGTCAGTGGACTTCAAGTGTCCAAAGTGCAACGACAGTTTTTCGGACCAGGCTGCTCTGACAAACCACTTCAAGGCGTGCCAAGGAGGGCAGGGTGGGTTCTGTCCGAAGTGTCAGAGGTCCCTGTCGTTGAGCAACATGGCAAGACACCGGAGGACCTGTCGAGGAGAACATCCGACAGCCCCAGAAGTAACCAACACCATTATCACAGGACGATTCGCCGGAACGAGAGCCAGAATCCAATGCGAAGAATGCGGTACTTGGGTGACAAAAAACAACATTTCAAGACACTGGAGCACATGTCCTGGAAACTGGGAATCAAGGCCCCCCACGGGGCGTAAATGACAAAAGAAGAAGAAGAAGGAAAATTAAAGTCCCCGAGAAGGTAAAAATTATAGGTATTTCCGTATCCGTATTGCTGTAAAATTTCTTCAATCTTCAACAAGTAGGACTCAATGCAATTTAGGAGGAGTTGAATATTAACAGAATAAATAGAAGACATGGGAGGGTTATAGATGAGAACAAAGAAGGAGGGTAGTTCGCTTAATACAACACATGAAACGGCAAATTCAAATGACGGAATGGTAGTATTCATAGCTTTGAGAGGGTCGTTGGCCGATTGTGCAATAAGTAGACCACCGTGCTGTCTTCGTTCTCGATCTGTTCTACATATAGTGATATAAGAAAAGCCAAGAAAAATTTCAGGATCATCAATGTCGGGATTAAGCCAAGTTTCTGTAAGAAACACCAAAGAAATCAAATTAGTATTACAGAGACTAATTAATTCGTATCTCTTATCGAGTGGACATATAGATTGACAATTTAACAGTAAGCAATTCGTAGATTCTAGTCAATTTGAGGATATGTCAACTGGCGCGCCTTTATAGTAAAGTTTAAGATTTTTGATTCGAAAATCTTTGTTTTTCGCCTCGGAAGTAATCATTTGATATCGTTTGGCCAGAAGATTTTTCTCAGTTTGACGATCCGAATGTGAAAGGAACTTTTTAATATACACTCGGTTAATGTAATTCTGAAGGTAGTGACTACGAGCAAAGCAGTTATTTAAGAATCGGTCATTAGAAGTTGTAACAAGGAGGGGTCGACATCTTGGTCTATCAGAAGCTAATTCATTTGGAGAAGATTTAGTAATCTTTCCAAGGCGTCGAATCGCAGTGATATTATTCTCTGGATGCAATCCCATATGTTGCATTATTCTATCAATTTCTGTTGAGTCGTTTTCAATTTGCTTAAAATAAGAGCTTTCGTTTTCAGGAATACCAGTAATAACAAACTGCAGTTCAGTATTAGGTAACGATTTCTTACTGCCGGATACTATATCACTATAAGAAGGTAAAGATTTAGTGACCGCTTCTTTGACATTTTCATTCACGCCAGGGATAACTTCACTGATAAGTTTAGGGACAAGATTTGTAACCGTAGTATTTATTTTATCGCTCAAGTCATTAAATAAAGCATCCAACTTAGCTTCGGTGCAAATTGTTGACTTATCTCCTCTCTGCAGACAGTTGTCACATAGCCACTGGAGATTTGCTTTTGTCCCTAGCCAACGCACATCATCGATAGAAAGTCCAACACAAGGGCCATGAACCCATTTCCCACAAGAAGAGCATCCAATAGCCGAGCTGTCATCATCATTGACGGGCTTCTTGCAGATACATTTAGGACTGGACTCAGAGTTCAATCTGGTGGTCCTGGGTTTAGGGCCCATAATCATTCAATATATGAAACTATTTAATGGGACCCAACAATAGAAAACTTTTAACCTATCAAAATCGCTAGACGCTCCTAATAACTACATGATTTTTGCACATAATCGAAGTCTTTATTAACATAAAATGAATAAAATTTTGCTGTACAATTCAATTCGTACAGATATGCAAAAAATTGTTCTATTTTTCATTTTTTTAAAAATCTGTTTGAAGTTTTTTTCCAATACCCGACTTCGCTCCTGAATTTATTCACTGGCCTGGATTTTTTTGGTTTCTTTGAGATGTTCCCAATTTCTTTGAAATTTTTGACTACTCAATTCTGTTGGGCTGAAAAAATTAAAACTAATTTTAAACATTCGGCCCTCCATCATGAGGTACGTCACCAGTGAAAGCTCTTCAAACCAACGAGCAGCTGCTGCAGCTACAAAAACTAACAGCATGTGAAGCTTCTTAATATTCTAAACGAGGCGAAGCTGCACATCACAAACACAAGAAACAATGCGCAAAGAAATTGCATCAATAAATTTTTAGGTGCAAGGAAAAAATACTGAGATCTGATAAATAAAAGCCCTCTAGGGAACCACATCTCGAGCATCCAAGGGAGCAGGCCTACATAACTGTGCTGCTGAAGCTTCAAAAGCCACATCAATAGCAACTATTAAAAAAATACCCAGGCTATTATAATGTCAACACTATTTAGCCAAAGTAAAACCAAAATGAACACTATCTAATGCGAGTTTGATTAGAAAAGACGACTCCTAACTCAAGCTCACATGTGTAATCAGCGATATGTTTTTGAAACATCTTGAAGAACTAGAAGCGCTTTTAGCCAGTCTTGATTCAGAACCAACTTTTCAAACAGATGCGAAGCGGAGCTTCGCAACGCTTGCGATGCAAAAAACACATGGCGCAACAAAATAGTAAATGAAAAAAAAAAACAGAAGTCACAAATTAAGTTGAAAAAAATAGTTGAAAAAACTTGAGAAATAACAAGTACAAAAACTCCCAAGTTGGAATCGGAGGAAGTTTATAAACAGTCATTTAAAAAATGGAAATCATTTAAAAATTTCATTACTTTCAAAACCTACGACCCATCCAAACTGAAACACATAATCGCATACGAATATACTTTACCCTCAAAACAACGCAACATAAGTTGACTAAGTCGATGGAACATAAACTGAAACTGTCCATATATTTTTCAAAACAATTGAAAAAATCAGACCTGGTAAATTTAAAAATTATTATTCTTTCAGTTATAGCAAAAACTGTTTAATTTGGAACACAACCCAATGCTTTAAAAATTTAGCCAATAAAAACCCAACCAGATAAAAAATAGTTTTAAAAAATCAAAAACCAAACCGACAGAAACTAGGACGAAAACCACGAACACGAAAAAAAAACGGAAAATAAACCGATGAAAACTAGGAAGCCAAAATAAATTGATTTTTTTTTTGAAAAGACAATTTCAACCTGAAACAAGCTTTAACTAAATACTTAATTAAATGATAGTAGTTCATTTGAATTCTCAAGAAATTGAGCTGGCAGATGAATGAGTCCAGGAGATGAAAGACTCCTGTTTACAAGCTAATTACGGGAAAAAGTCTAGTACCTAACGCAATACCCTTGCTTATTGCGAGGGTAATCAATGAATTCAAAAACAAAGGGAAACTAGAGAAAAAAATAATTGAGCCTTCTGAAAGATTAAAGAAACTTAATTGAAATCAATAGATTTAATAGAACTATCAGAACATCATAAATATATATTTTGAGACAACCTTTTACAATATACCCTCTTGCATTATTTATAGCCAAAAACAATATGCAAAAGCTCTCAATAAGTTACAGAGAATTCAGTGTTGAATTTGTTGCGAAAAAAATTTAGTTGAAGTTTAAATGAACTCATTTATGAGCTCAAAATTTTAAATGACCTCAGTTTTGTAAAAAGGTACATCGCTTTTAAGATCCATACATCTTACAAAACACCATTATTTCGAAAATTGTTTTAAACTGATTCAGGTCTAATCTGAGCTTATCACTCATGTCTTGAGCTGTTGCCTATTCTTTTATATTATTGATTTCCGGAGTCAGTATGCAAACTTAAACCTCCTCTCACTTGATCGCTGGTTACTATTGCATGGGCGTTGGAAAACCACAGTCTAACCCTCCACTCTTTTGCTTTGCGGGTGTTATGGAGATTATAGGGACATGACACGGTTAGTAGAGGCAGAACCATAAACCGTACAAATTCTCCACGAGTCGAAGTGGAGATTCGCAACACTTGCGATGCAAATCACACATTGCGGTACAAAACAGTGAATGAAAATAAAAAGAGTCAAAAAAATTCTCAAAAATTATGGAAAAAATTTTGTTGAAAGAATAATTTGCCAAAAGTTGAAAAAATACCGCAACAAAAAATTCACAGAGGCGAAGTTGCGCTTCGCATACACAGAGAAAAATATGACTGATAATGCTACTGGGAAAAACTGAATGAGTAAAACTTTGAGTCTACAAAACTTCTCAAGTGACGCACGCCGATTATGAGTCTACATAATTGCTAAGTGACGCAAGCCAATTATGATGCATTAGCAGTACCAGGCAATTTAAAAAAAAGAAATTTACCAAATAACACGACTCAATTTACAGTGCGGACTCATTTTAACTAGTATACGAAAAATTTCATTAAGATATCCCCCCTTAAGTGACCAACCGTAGATTTTTCCCTCAAGCAGCGATTTAAACTTGAAAATTAATTCTGTGTAATGTATGCATTTCGAACGAACGCGCTCATAAAATTAGTTGTCACAATTTATATGTGGGGTTGCATTTGAAGGCTGTTAATAACCTAAGCTAACGTAATTTTAATCAATTTTCTCCAAATAAACTTAATTTACTATAACTTAATTTACGCTTTGTGATATGTGTATAGATTGAACTGCTTACTTTTACAGGTAGAAGAGCTAGAACTGTGGTTGCAATGTGGTCGAAGAATCTGTAGAAGAGAGGCCTCTTGCTGCACTCATTGGGAGAGTAATCAGAGGGGAGTTTGCAGCAGAACAGACATGCGTATCTGTTGGCTTCTTTCCTTTTTTGGTCATAAGTGAGGATGCCGGTGAAGAAGAAGAGGGTGACGAGGAAGACACCCACTATGCCGAATGCAGAGAACAAACAGACGGATCTGAGAGAGGGGATAATCTGCAAACAAAAACCACACTTGATACCAGGTGGACCCTAACCCACAGCACTCATTTCAACAACTTCGCCGCTCTTTCCCGTTATAGCCTCCTAACAAATTATAGCTCTTCCCGTGACCAGACATTTCCGTTCCGAAAGCAGTCATTTCCGGAACTGACTGTTTTTGGGGCCGAAATGACTGGGAGTCAGCCCCTCCCCCGTTATACAAAACATTAGTATGATGCAGCTATAGCTTATAGGTACCAAGCTGGTGACCGGACTACAATAGGTCTTTGCGATAAAGCAGCATAATCGCGTAACCAACTGAAAAGCAGCTCGTTTGTATAATTTCTATCTTTATTTTACATTACTTCAGCTGAAATGCAAAAGCATCATTACCTCAAAAAAAATTACAATTCAGCAACAATAGCCGGTTGATGTCCAATTAGCACAGTACTGTCCAACCATGGCTATCTTTTTTTTTCGGCGGTGGGAGGGGTTGTGGTGGGCAAGCGATAAATTAGAAGGTCTAAAAATTATTTAAATTGATCTTTTGAAAAAAAATCAGCGGCTCAGCAGAGACGTTGAGTGCCAGTTCACAACTTTCCTCGACACTAAAAACACGTTCAACATTTTCTATTGCAATTCAAAAGTCTTCAACATGACAAATGATTCGACCGCGTCCGACGATTATGTGTGGTAACGGTTGTTGCGTTGACAGAATGCCCGAACACCTGCTGTAGGAAGGAATGGATGGATTAGAAAAAGGAGGGCAGCTTACCGTGGATGCTCCGATGGCGAAAGCGGAGAAGTCAGTGAGTGAAGTGATGAGGATGGAGACTCCTGCATGTTTCACCATGAGAGCAATCTTCTCACTCACTTCCAACCCCTTCTTCTCCTCACTGCTCAGGTTGTCATAGGCAGCCACAAACACAAACATGTTGTCCACTCCGATTCCTACACAAACACAAACACAAACCAACATCAACTGCCACTCAGGAAAGAGACCAGAAGCCACATTTTATCATTGCTCGATGCAGCTGATCAGGGAGAGCACAACCCCCCCCCCATGCATAAAGATAGGCTAATTCTTACCACTTCGATATCCAAATACTAATACATAGGTTGCTGACTCTATGCGCTACCGCCTACCTTAATGCACAGGAGTCAACATCGAGCGTCAACTACTTTCAGTCATTTAAAGAGCATTAAGATTTTTTGGATTGAAAGCTGTTAGTTGCTTTTAGGGGCTTTTCAGCCAGGTTACTCTGTGTAAGTGGATGAATGCAGTACCAAAGAACAAGACGAGAGTGATTTTAAAATAAACATTTGATCGGAAGAGAAACCCCTTCGGTTGAATAAAAACAGTCATAATTGAAGATTGGACATCAGAAAAATCACCTTATCCAACTCTCAGCTGAAATGCATTCACACGATTATTCATGTTCCCACTATAATGGGATAAAATGAACAGACACTTTGACGACCTCAAAGACTAACCTATTTAAAAGCCACATGGGGCTCCAGAAAGAACCAAGCACGTTATCTTCTCTTAATTGAAATATATTTCAAGCTTGTTCTCCATGTCTCTGGATCTTATCGAAGGTTTAGAGTTTGACTAGAAAGACGCATCCACATTCAATCACTTCTAACTGCGGCTGATGCCAGAGTACACTGTGTAACTGTAGTACTATGTGGTGGGTGTGGTGTGGCATGTGTTTACCTAGCAGTAGGAATGGGAGGAGTCTGTTCAGGGGTCCAGCTGCGAATCCGAGGAGGGAGGAGAATCCCACAGAGAAGGCCATTGACATCACGATGCACACTATTCCACCCAACGCCACCCAGAACTAAAACACAATCATGAAACTTCATGCATCTTTCCAGTGAGTTCCTTCATAGAAATGAGAAAACATGGAGCCAACAAAGGTAACAATATCAAGTGTACTCGATAACTCACATCTCATAACTATGAAAACAGACACATTCGAAAGGAAATGCTGAAGAATCTAAGATATGCTCTTAAATTTACACATGGTTCGAGAGCTACAGAAAAGACGAACCTTGCTCTCTAGGAAGTTGAGATTGCCGAGGTTAATTGTGAGGTAAAGTATGACTAGGATGTATCCCACTCCTAGGAACCGCAGGTCTCCTTTGATGGTGCCTCCCCCGATGTCACTGAAGCTCCTCACTGCCAGGTAATACACAGAGTAGCCTTCGATTCCCTCTGAACAAGTGTCAAGAAACCGCTGCTCCCACTCAAGAACGTACGGCTTAAAAACGAAATCCACTCATGCAAATCAACAATCCTCGATTTAGATCCAACTACATAATAGACTAATTTTGATGCTTCATTGAAAATGATTTTTTGTTACTACTTCCAAGATTCCTCCTATTAATGACAAATCAGTAAAATGCTGATTTAAATAGTTTTTCTGACTGGGTTAAGATTAGACAAACTGAACGGAACAAAGTTGGCTTAGAATTTAACCAGAATTATCACGGTTCAATTTTTTTTGCGAAAATCGAAACTATTTTTCACCCCAAAAACTGATTATTTTGGCTTTTCTTAGTTGATCAAGTATAACGCTTAAAGTAGCAAGTTAGTTGATGAGAAGGTTACATCAAAAGAATCCTTTTACACAGCAAAACAAAGTTCTAGGAAAGTAAAATCTCCAAAAATCTTATTTCAATATAAAACTGAAAATCTTTGCTCAAAAACCAATTTAACACATTATTTTGCGCAAAATTTTAGAGATTCTACCTTGCCAGAATTTTGTTGGACTGTGTAAGAGGCTTCTTTTGATATAATTTTCTTATCAATTAACTTGGTAGTTTAAGCATTAATTTTTATTAACTAAGAAAAGCCAAAATGACCCATTTCTAGGGTAAAATCTTAGGTTCAAAATGGTGCGATTTAAAAATAAATTGCACCATGGTAATTTTGGTAAAGTTCTAAGCACTGTTTTGTTCACTTTTGTCTAATCTTCACCAAATTTGAATTAAAAAATGCGTTTAAAGTTTGCAATGATGTGTGGATAATTGAACATGAGCAGTGTATTTATCGAAGCTGTTTAAAGTATGCGTTAAATTTTGTCGACATCATGTTGTGTTGTTGTTTGGAGAAATAAATAGTTGATGTTTCGTTTTGGAATAGCATGATGGAAGTGCACATCTTAATACAACTGTTGTTTCGGGGCTAGTAGTGAGTAGTGGGAACATTGTGAGTGCATTAACCTCTGGATTGAGTCTGTTCTCGTAAGTCTGGATGAAGTATGTCATGGACATTGCCTCTGCACTTTCTATCTCTGTCTGTCCCCCACTGGCACTACTGCTGCCATTGCTGGACACCTCCACTCCTCCCAGGTACTGCACCACATCCACACTCATGCCCATCCTACTCGATCCACTGAAGAGAACAACACAACAAAACAACTTCAACAGACCACGTCTCCAATTCACAGATCATTGAGAAATAAGAGAGAGAAATTACACTTTTCTTTTTTCCTCTTAATTAAGGCTTAAACGGTTTGTTATCTTGTTGGCCTAAACATCATCTTTAAAGGACTAATGAGCACAGGGGCGGATTTAGGCGTCCGCCCCCCCCTCAGGGATTCGAACCCCTGCCAACCCAAAGGGTCTCCCTTTGGTACTTTTTAAGAAATCCGTTCTTGGCCGAACGACCCTAAAATTTTTCTAAAGGCGCCTTTAGCGCCAATATATACTAATTTTGAGGGGGAGCGCGCGCCAAAAAAACGCATTTTGTCAAAATTTTCGAAAAAGTGCCCAAAAACGGCTTTTTTGACCTGTTTTTTCAAAAAATTGCCTGCGGCGCAGATAAATTGGCCGAAACAGGGTCTTTTTACTGCTTTACGAGACCTCGGAAAATCAATCTGATCGACCTAAAAAAAGGTCGTCAAAATTTTTTGAAATTTTTTTGAAAATCCCCCCCCCCTCGAGAAAATCCTAGATCCGCCCCTGAATGAGCACATGCGTTGCTTTAAGACCTGATAACAAGAAAGATTGCATAACAGAAAACAATTGATAAGCAAACATAATAAAATTTCAATCTAGATTGGAGCCAGAGTGAACTTACCTTGACTTGGATTGGTGGATAGCAGTCAAAATTTGCTGCTTGGTCAGTTTCTGGATGGTTGCTTTGTCATACTGCCACAACTGCAGAATGGACATCTGCATGCACTGAGGTCCCGCGTGGTAGCACACTTGAGCAAAGCTCAGATCAACTGTCGTTCCGTTCTCACCCTCACTCTGCACCGCGATGTTCTTGATGCTCTCGTCCAACTCCACCGCCCTGGTCAGTGCCTCGGGAGTGAGCACATCCCCGCCATCTGCAGTTATGATGACGCGTACTACCCGCAACATAGCCGGGAACCACTGCTCCGACATCCTCGCATCGCCCACCGCCCTAAAAGGAGGAGGTAGAGTTAGAGTCGAAATCAACCACATTCTATCTGATTGGGATGAACAAGAACAGTATTGTTGCACATATCAACAAGTGTACCCGTGACACTAAGTTAGAAAGTTCAGAAGTTACTGAATGTGAGTTACAATGACACTTCAGATGTTTCATGAGAAAAGCTGCAGCAAATAATGGCAGACTCCACATAGAGGAGTTCAAAGGCACTTGAAGGCATTGCAAAAGATGGGCCGATGTAATGTGCATGAAGAGATGGTCGTAAATAGCCGATACACGACTGTCTGGATATATGCTCATTTACCCTATGGTACAAACGATGTTGTGTGTCGGTCCAATAGAAATAGACTCAAAACCCGCAATTGGACAGCAATACTAGTAGGTGACACCTCAACGTAGCTTACACGATGTAGAAAACGATAAAGGACGAACAGCTGAAGTTCGATCAATGTATTTTTCGGATAATCGAAACTGTCTAATTTCACAACTCAGAGCGGAACTGCTGTAGCCACGTTAATCGCGGCACCTTGTTGATCGGGTAATTTCCTGATAGAAACCAAGCCCTGAGGATGGAAGCGAAACCGCTCGCTAATACAACATGTATATCAAAAAAAAATATATGACTGTTCGCGAAACAATGTTTGATGTGAAAACGTACGTTTGTCGCATTGTTCATGATAGACTGACGCCTCAAATCCGCTTAGACATTTACTCATTTTCATAGACATTAAGCACCAATTTTTTTAATTGTCACAATTAAACAGAATTGATTGACGAAAACGGTTGAGTCTGGCTCCAAAATTTAAGAAGCACTCTTTGAAATGGAATGATAAAACTTTTTCTTCAACATAGCGCTTGTAAAAGTGATAAAACTTTAATATCTCTACTAAAATTTGAAATAAAGGTGGCCAAGGAAAAAATTGACAAATAAGGGTCCCGAATGTGAATGCATGGATACACCATTAACCGTACTAACTGACTGTACTGGGGAATGTAATTAACATGCCAGCAGACACCACAAACTGAAACAATTTCTCCTCCCTGTTCAAAATACACTCGAAACTTTCCAGTCTCTCAGAATGGCCAATTGAGTCAAACAAAGTTTCCAGAATGACTTCAGTTGTCTCGTGCATCAAACATCAAACGAAATCATTATGCACTTTACTTTAGAAAAATATTAACGAGAAAAACTCATAGTTATAAGTTAGTAATGCAATTGAAGCTGGAGGTGCATGCACCTAATCGATTGTTTGCTTTGAAAATATACTTCATTCATGCCGGAGGAAACTTTACCCAAAACCATAGTGCTCTCTCACCTAAGGACGGGATTAACCGCTTATTCAGGGCAGATTCCTCAGGTTTGGCTTAGTACTTTTCGAGAAAAGTGAAAAGGTTCCAAATTTATAAACGTTTCTCTACTTAAGTATAGGAAAATCCCCTTACGCAGGCAAAATCACCACAAACTGATCGTTCGATTAAATCTTTCTTGTCAGATTTGGCAGGGTAGTTTTCCAGAATAGTGAAGAATTGAAATTTCCAAAATCGAAAGGCCATAATTTTTTAACAGTAAATAGGGCATAGCCGCTAGCGCAAAAAAAATAATTTGCAAAACTTTTTGCACAACTATTCGATTGACCCCTTGCACATCTCTTCGATTGACCCCCTAAACTCATTGTAGGAATTTGTCGAACAATAAGACAAAAGTTTCCGAAGAAACTGTCAGAAATTCAAAAAATTGACTTTTTACAAGCCCAACACTATTTTTCTACATTATGCAAGGCGGTAGTAGTTTATGCAGAGAAAAATCCTAGCTCTAAGGGTGTAACTTTTTTTCTATGTAACTTTTTTTAATTCGGGCGTAGCGGCTGCTTATACAGGGGAGATTTCCGCTACCTTTTATTTCGATTGAATATCAGATTTGACAGGGTTATTTAAAAAAAATGGGTTAAGTAATCCCAAAAATGGGTCATACTTAAAAAATTAGTAAACTTGTCAACCCCAAATTGGACTTATCAGTGGCTCTAAGAACAGACCTTAAAGGCAAACCAGCTATGTTATTACAGCAAAACATAAATGTGAGCTAGTCTTCCTTCAGCATACAGCATGATTTCGTGTGATGAGCCAGGTTCCACCAGCAGCAGAAGAGCAACGGAAATTTGCAACTCTGACAACGCAGAGGTTCATCTTCAGCACCCATAGAAGGCAGCTGATAACGCAAGGTTTTCGCAGAAACAGAAGCAAATCGAATCTCGATAATGAAGAGCCATAAACTAACCTTCGAAGAGTTCGATGAACTCTACAAAAAAGCGTTGTACAAAATCTATGCCGATATCTACGATCAAAAAGAGGACTATAGAAAAATCATAAACTATCAATAAAACACGAGGAAGCACAAATGGAACAGAAGGAATGACGCAGAGGATGGGGCAACAATCCAACGCCAGCAATCCTAATATACGTGAGTTCCAACTGTTTTTAATTCCCGAGGATACCAAAAACTTAATCCTGGGATCTAGCATTACAGCGCGTATCAGAACCTAAACTTCTTCTATTATACCTAATGCTTCTATTATCCATTCTCACAGGGGTAGCAGTACCGAGGAAAAATCATAGTTTTAAAAAAATATGCTTGTTCGGACTTTGATAACAACGCGCAGGGCTACTATCGTTAAATCCAGTCAGGGTTTTTTCAAAAATAAGTCTGGTTTTTGACAAATTACTATTTTATCTCGTTCCTAACTGGGAATTTACAATGATAGTAATCTGGTTCCTAACTAGCTTACTTCTTTTTATGTATTGCGACGAAAGAGATCTTGTTATATAAAAGGCTCTTTGAATAAACGAGACGGAAAATTTTTTCCATGGGTTGGCACTAATTCAACAAATAAGCGCTCATGTATGTACTTATAGCCTCTCAAGCGCACTTTATTTTTATTATTATAATTGCTTGATTTATCGTTTTTATCAATCTCATTATCACTAAAAACCATCATTAGGAGGCTAACTTCTGCATGGCTCCGAATCAGACTACTTCGCTCTGGAGACATTCATCCAAAACAAGGTCTGAACATGAGTATCAGAAAAACAACGAAAAAACTCGAAGACTATAAAAGCAACATCAAATTCTTAAACATTAACCGCAGAAGTCTAAACAGGAAAAGGGGCGATCTTAAAGAACTAGTACACAAATGCGGATATAAAACAATTTATGAATTCTCTGAGACATGGTTCAATTATTCAAATGACCAGAACTTATAGACACTCGATAACAGACAGTTAACCGCATTTCGCTGTAATCGATCCGCGGAAGTCAGTGAGAAAAGCACAGGCGGTGGTGTTATGATTCTCATTCCAACAACCCTAAATCCTAAGCTTCGGAAAGATTTGAAATTTCTTAATGAGAAATATGGTAGCATCTGGGTGGATTTCAATACATCCAAAAAAAACGAAAGATCTACCTTGATAAACATCACCAAAAACTCTAAAAAATCTAACAGAACTGAATTTCTTGATGAAATTGCTACATCCATTAATTATGCGCAAGGTAACAACACAAATTTGATACTAATTAAAGATTACGATCTTAACTATCTTGATTATGACGAAGGAGAACCTCTGGACACAATTGTAACGCCATATAACTTAGAAGTTGCGAACAAATCAACACCAACTCATTCCAAATCACTGATTGATTAGATCATTACAAACCTAAGTTCAACGGATCAGTCCAAAAAGGCTCGAACGTTTAATCCACCAATCAACACAGACCAATCGCTAAAATTCTAACTACAGAGCTGAAAAATTGCAAAAACTACCTTTTAATGCACAATCTATGACAAATCAAACTATTCAGAAAACGATTTCAAGATGGCTCTATCAGAAATTAATTGGGAGCATTTTTATCAGCAAGGCCATCCAGAAGAGATCTTTCAAATAATCAACTCAAATGTAGTTGATTGCATAAAAAAATGCTCGCCACTAAAAACAATTTATATATGTAATGATAATCTAAAAATTAATCTCAACGATCACAATTTGTATTTCACAACTATTCACTTCAAAAAAACCACTGCAACAAAAATGGAAAACCATAAGCGATACTAGCAATTCAAATAACTCTGCAAATAAAATACCACAAATGAGAAACTCGTTTGGAGACTCAAAAAAAACAATGTGAAAGCAGCAAAAAGGAACAAAACTGCTCGTATATCTGGGCAAAGTCCTGAATTTTCTGACTGTCCCTTAATTCATACCGATTATTGAAAACCTTCATTTTGGACATCAAGGTTTGAAAATTTGAGTCGTACGAAATTAAAAAGACCAATTAGCTAGCCTCAACCCAATTTAGAATAATTTTGTTGTGGGGAATGAATAATTCTCCGCACATAAATAACTCGCATTACGTTCTCAGCATTATGAATAATCTCCTCAAAGCGCGTATAAATTAGTCCAAAGCATGGCCAATTTGGCAATTTTCAAACCCCAGAACTTCAAAAAAAACAATCGGGTAAAACGTGAACTCAAGAAATCGATATCTTTGGTAGGTATAAAAAAATTTGTTGGAAACTATTATTTCGATCGGCGAAAATTGACTGCATAAAAACACCACACCGAGCATAAATACTCCATTTTCTTCAAAATTTGGAACAAATATCCAATCTTAATGCAACAAAACAACCAGGTCCGTCCGATGCTCCGGAATGTCCTCTGATAGACGGCTGCAATGAAATCTATCCTCAAATGACTTTCTTTTTAAACGAATACATAAAACATAAAAATGTTCCTAGATCATCATAATCTACTATGGATGCAATACTTTTACTGTAGTGAAACCTTCCGAAATTGTATGGACAGAAACAAATACGTCGCAGTAGCCTTAAAAGATCTTTCGAAAGCTTTTGATTTGATCGATCATTAAATTCTTAAACTAAAATTAATTAGTCTGGGCTTCTCAGAATCTGCAATTGAGATGATTGGAAACTTCATCAGCAACAGAGAAAAAGACTAAAGTAAATAACACCGAATCGGACGGAATATTACTCCACCAAGGTGTGCCTCAAGGTACAGTCTTAGAACAATTATTCAAAAATTGCAAGAAGTGCAATGTTCACACGATACCCTATTTTTCTGCAATCATCAGAAAATTAACATTATTCTTCAGCATCTGCAAGAATCTTGTCAGAAACTTTTTCGCTACTTCACACAACATGACTTAAAACTAAAATTGACAAAACTTAGCTGATTATTTTCAGCAATAAGCAAAGCCGAAGTGGCCAAAATATACACAGTATACAACGATATGATAAAATTATTATAGAAAACTCACAAGTAAAGTATCTAGGGGTTATGCTTGATCAATACCTTACATTACACGGCGAAGTAAAAAAACATCTTGAGAAAAATGGTCTGGAATTAAAACACTGCAACTAATGAAAAAGCCTCTACCAATCAAGACTCGAATATTAATAAGGAAAGCCTTGGTAATTAGTCATCTACATTACGCATCCATACTCTTCAGCAGAATAACAACACATTTAGCAGTATCACTCGAAAAGAAGCTTAATTGGGCAATTTAGAACTGCTGCAATCGAAATGAATTCGATTTTTCATCAGATCTAAAACTGAATCACAAAATACTACCAGTATCAATGTTCCTCGACTGGAAACTAGAGCCAGCTCTGGAAAAAAAAATTCTACCAACATATACAAAAATCAAATACAAAAACAGTTGCATTGAAGAAAACAGAAGAACCAAAAAGTGATACTTCCAGGAAAGATTCAATGATCAGATTAAAGCTCCCAAAAATCGATTTTCTTGAAACATCGAAAAAATACATCCTAATATTTTCATATATTTCTGTTGAATAATTCCAATTGACAAAGGAATGTTAAAATAGCAACGTAACAAAACTCACGAAGAGTTAACAAAATCGATCATTCTTTTACAGATTAACTTTGAGCTGAAAAAAAGTTTTGAAGAACCCATACTCAAAACAATTAGCCAAAAGAAGAGGAAAAAAACTGATATAATTAAATTGGAGTAAATTCACAACCAAGTTAAAAACAAATTTGGAGTGGAACAAGCATTTAAAAACCAGACAAGCTCAGTATTTGTCTGTTAGTTGAAGAAAGTACAGATGGAGATGATCACCAATTTCAGTCATTCTGTGCACTAAGTTATTTACTGGAAAAAGTCTAGTACCAGGTTGCAACACTTTTGTCAACCACAAGGGTAGTTATTCCTTGAGGAGCGTTTCGAAACTTTTAGACTTACTTAAGAGTTTCTCAGAATCTGCAATTGAGATGATTGGAAACTTCATCAGCAACAGGGAAAAAGACTAAAGTAAATAACATCGAATCGGACGGAAAATTACTACACCAAGGTGTGCCTCAAGGTACAGTCTTAGGACCTTTAATTTTCAATCTCTATATAAAAGATCTATAAAAACAATTATTCAAAAATTGCAAGAAGTGCAATGTTCACACGATACCCTATTTTTCTGCAATTATCAGAAAATAAACATTGTTCTTCAGCATCTGCAAGAACCTTGTCAGAAACTTTTTCGCTACTTCACAAAACATGACTTAAAACTAAAATTGACAAAACTTAGCTGATTAATTTCAGCAATAAGCAAAGCCGAAGTGGCCAAAATATACACAGTATACAACTATATGATAATATTATTAAAAACTCAAAAGTAAAGTATCTAAAAAGAAAACTCAAAAAAAGAAGTATCTAGGAGTTATCCTTGATCAATATCTTACATTACAGGGCGAAGTAAAGAACTTCTTGAGAAAAATGGTCTGTGGAATTAAAACACGGCAACCAATTAAAAAAACCTCTACCAATCTAGACTCGAATATTATTAAGGAAAGCCTTGGTAATTAGTCATCTACATTACGCATCCATACTCTTCAGCAGAATAACAACACATTTACCAGTATCACTCGAAAAGAAGCTTAGCTGGGCAATTTAGAACTGCTGCAATCGAAATAAATTCGATTTTTCATCAGATCTAAAACTGAATCACAAAATGCTACCAGTATCAACGTTCCTCGACTGGAAACTAGAGCCAGCTCTCGAAAAAAAAAACAATATTCTACCAGCATATACAAAAATCATATTCAAAAACAGTTGCATTGAAGAAAACAAAAGAACCAAAAAGTGATACTTCCAGGAACGATTCAATGATCAGATTAAAGCTCCCAAAAATCGATTTTCTTGAAAAACATCGAAAAAATTCATCCTAATATTTTCATATACTTGTGTTGAATAATTCCAATTGACAAAGGATAAAATAGCAACGCAACAAAACTCACGAAGAGTTAACAAAATCGATAATTCTTTTACAGATTAACTTTGAGCTGAAAAAAAGTTTTGAAGAACCCATACTCAAAACAATTAGCCGAAGAAGAGGAAGAAAACTGATATACTTAAATTGGAGTAAATTCACAACCAAGTTAAAAACAAATTTGGAGTGGAACAAGCATTTAAAAACCAGACAAGCTCAATATTTGTCTGTTAGTTGAAGAAAGTACAGATTGAGATGATCACCAATTTCAGTCATCCTGTGCACTAAAATATTTACAGGAAAAAGTCTAGTACCAGGTTTTGTTAACCGCAAGGGCAGTTAATTCTTGAGGAGCGTTTCGAAATTTTTAGACTTACTTAAGAGTTTCACCATTCGATTAGGTTTACTGTTGAGGAGTCAAAAACCATTCATTTGAATAATGAATCTATGGCAAAATGAAGATTTGAAATAACATGCGGTCCGGGTGAAAGCAATCCTCTCTGCTTTCTATCGATTAACCAACTCTTTTTAAGGGGGGTAAATTCAGAATTGCGTTCTACAGCTAAAAAAAATACTTGGTAGATAAAATGGTTCATACAGCTAAAAAAAGGTTTAAGCTTTTGTTGCGTTTCAATGTGACCTTATTATTATGTTCGTCTTTCGGGTTTCCAAATGAGGTGATCTTTGCGCTATTTCATTAAGGATCAAATAAGCAACTGAACAAAACTTACGAAGCGAAAACAAGGCTGACAATCTTAGAGCAGACACCAGTTGAGCCGAAAAAGATGATTTTATAAAAAAGTGAAGTCCCACCGTACACAACAATGGACAACACTTGCACTTGCAACTACAATGAAATTTGTTTACAGCACAAGAAAAATCAGTGATGTGGCAACAAAGACGACAATCTTTGAGCAGACACCAACTGAACGGAACAGTAGTTAAATTCGAATTTTCATGAAACTGAGCATGTCAGCTGCACAGTGATTCAAATGATTGTGTTAAACTAGTTGTTAACCCAAAAAAAGGCTGAATTCCGATTTGATGACGCTTGCTAATCGCAAGCGTAAACGTCCTGTTCCAGACACGTAACTAATTGTTGTTACCTAGAATTGCTTGGGACCCACAACTTGGATGCATTAGTCTCTTCGTGGTATCTTCTCAGCCCCACCAGTGGAAGGGCAAAGATGGCGAACCCAATCAGAAGAGATGCCCAGGGGTATCTTCCACAAAACCCTCCGATTCTAAAACCATAATTAAAACATATGCACCTTAAATCTTAAGCAAACCTTTTTTGGGGCAGTTTTCTTTGGTTTTTGAGCGTTTCATAAAAATGAGGGGCCAAGCTTTCACATAGCTTTTGGTAGGGAAGCAATCATCTGTCTTGTCTTGTCCCTTGCTATTTTATTTACTCATTTGACGGGGTTAGGCTTCGAGGTATGCAAACTAGCTTCGAATAAGACTGAGTCACGCTTTGAACTCCTTTCACCACTCCCACTGATCAGTCAACCATCAGTAAATAACTGTAGTCGCTCAAAAGCTTCAATTACATTAGGACAGAAAACAATTTAGAGCACTCAATTAAGGCCAAATACAACACTTTACTCTACTTGCCTGTGGAAGACACCTTGAACGAATGACGTAATTCTATCCGAGATTTGTTCGAGAAAGACGAAGTTGCACGCATTGAATGAATCATCTTCTTCGTCAATTGAGGACATGTCCAAATCTTTCACCAACTCCAGTTCCGTCTCTCCATTTTTCTTCTCATCGTCTGCCATTTTTTTCACATTGATTTTAGCAATCAGCTCTTTTGGCGTGAACTAAAATCGAAAATCTAATCAATCAAATAATATAGAAGTCTTTTCGTTTCTGCCGCGAAGCAGACTATGTTATAACAGTAAAATGTGAACATAATTCCAACTATCTAGGTTATCAGTAACGCTTGGCACTATAACTATGGCGACATTTTCATTTTGAGGCATCTAAATGTACTTTTGAGGGTACTTTTGCTTGCTTTGAGAAGTGCCTAACTGCAATTCCCGAAATATGAATACATTTGCGACAAAATAGGTAACTTTTACAACTAACTTTACTCATTATGGCCAAATTATGGCGACATTCTTGTTCGTGTTTCGAAACAGAGAAACCTTTCTAGATACATGTCTTCGTAACTCAACACTGAGCATCAAACCGCCAATTTAAATTCGACTCTTTAAGGACCTATGTTCTATCAAATTGATAGAGGATATCTAGCAACCAGAGATGCAGATCTGATTGATTTCGGAAAATGTAGAAGGTCCATTGTTTGAATTTTGATCAAACGGACAAACAAAAGCGAAGCGGAGTTTGCATCACTTGTGATACAACAACAGCGTAGCATTGCAAGCTAGCAAGCGAAAACAAAATGAGACAAAGTATCTAAATCGAAAAAAAAGTTCAAAAAAAGATGATTGATTCAACTTATATAAAGCAGTCGAAAAACACAACCAACAGAATAAAATGAGCTTCTAGTATTAAATTAGCGACTATAAGCCGACATCACGTGAGTAGTCGCCCATTGAGCCGAAAACAAAAAACGCCCTAGAATATATTGTCTTAAAAAATTGGAGCGATTAGGTTTGAACTTTTATGACAAACAACTGACCTGAATTATATGAAAGACTAATAACAAATTTCTGTCCTTCAAGCAAAGCAAAACAAAATGACAATGCCGACAAAATATCAACCCAAATGATTAAGGCCGAACAAAACTCTCAATGGAGAAAAAAAAGAAAATATACAAATTAATTACGGTTAGTAAATTGAGAGGTTACAGGATTTAATCAACAACAATTCCAACCACAATGAAAATAGATTTCAGCAAAAAAAAATCAATCTAACAACTAAGCGAACAAACCATAAGCAGAAACAGCGAGAGGCCGATCATTCGATTTCTCCCGTCAGGCCGGAACTCCAAAAAAGATACGGCCGGGACTGCAACCACAGATCTTAAACTGGAAAAGCTATCGCGTTACCTCTGGAGCAAAAGGGAGAAGGGAACTGAAAGTTAGTAAGATTCAATATTTAAGAAAATTAAATTCCTTAGAAATTTGTAAAACAAAGTTGTTTACAGGAAACAAAAGTTAATTCCCGGTTACAAAACACATGATCTCGCACGTGTAAAAAAAAGCAAAAGGTAAGTCCATTTTGCTCGTTATTCTGTGAAATCAAATCGAGTTTTGCAACTCAAATATGACATTACTCAAAGCATTTCATAAAAAATTGTCGTACTGAAGCCCTTTCAGTTGCAACTCGGACGGCATCAAAATTTTCGAGAATAATTTCCCTTCGTTGAGAGAAACTGGAATGATTTATTTATTGAGTTTGGTTTGACTTTGAGCGAGTAAAGCGGTCTTACAAAACATAATCAACAGGCCGTTAGAAAAGAGCAAATGAACGCAAGGAAACAGAAAAGTGATGTTTTTTGAAAAAACATCATTTTTCGAATTTAAATGGGCTTGAAGCTCCTTGAAATTCGAAAATAATTTATGATTGACAGTGAAGTCCCATTTGTACCAAAATGAAAAATCGGTCCCATTTGTACCAAAATTATTCAACTCGGTTTCTGATTTATCGAATTGTGAGCCAACGAATGATTAAATTATTTTTCTACTGTTCAAACAGAAGAAGACTAAACAGTGTAATAGTGACCGCTGCAGTCACGTCAACGTGTTGCGAGCTTGCCAACAGAGGTATAATATACCGTATCTGGCGGATGGATAATACGGATATATTGTCGTTTAGTGTAATGCGAGCTGTTCAATTGGTAGTTTTATTTAGCGCTACTGGCTATCAATTGTATTTAGATTGGATTCATTATTTAAGATATGTCTCGAGCGGTAAAACCTATCTTGCTTTAAAGGATGCTGGTTCCGATTCCTAGCTTCTGATATCTCTCAAGCCGATCGGCGCAAGTAAGAGCATGATTAGGATATTTTATTCAGTTAATTTGTCTCCAATTGATTTCTAGCTCGATATAAGATTCCTATGATTGGTCTTAATTACCATCAATGTTTACATAGTTAAATAAATATATGATGCAGCTCTATTTTATCATCAAGGTGAATTATGTAATCTATTCGGTTCAAATGATTAATTAGAATGAATGACATCATGAAGGGATGTCACAAGAGGGTAGGACTCTAAAAACAAAATTACAGCCGGTTATAGCCGCAAAGCGGCGACGCTCGCCGACTGGCGACCTTAAACCAAGAGCTTAAAATAGTCGGCTTATTAGTCTTTGACCAAATGAATATTTTTGGTACTAACGCGATTGATTTTTTATGTTGGTACAAATGGGACTGATTTATAATTTTGGCACTAGTGATTACCCACCTTGACATTTTTTTGATAAAACTTACTAGCATGTAACGCACCTCCGGTGCTTCGAATTATTAACAAGTAATTGAAGCCGCATATATTGGAAAATAGATATGCATCCTTTGAGTATACGCAGACAGCCCCAAATTACAGGGTTCCTTATTACAAGTTTTGCGAAGTTTTTTATTCAAGTTTTTTTGCAACTCCTGAGAGTACTTTTACAGTACCCAACTACAACGTTGGGAAAATCAAAGAAAAAGAAAAGATATTTTTGGAAACCAGAAAAAACGTCACACCTCAAAAACTACCAAGATTTAAGCAGTCTTATTTGAAAGCATTATACGAAATCCTTGACAGTAATCTGACAGCACTCAACTACAGGATTGGGAATCTCAATTTTGTGAATTATTTCGTAATTTGAGTTTTCTGAAAATTTCTGAAAAAATCACAAAAATCGTCGTAAAGTTGGAAAAAATCACAAAAATCTCGTTAAGTTGGAAGCTTGAGCATTCTTAATTGAAAGCTAAATTCACCACCTCTGAGGTTACTCTGACAGCCCCCAACTAAGGGTTAAGAATTTCAGATTTTTAATAAAGGTTTACATTAACTTTTCGGAGTTTTTTATGAAAAATGACAAAAAAAAAACGTCATACCTGGAAAACTATAAGGTTTTGAGCTGTCATATTTGGAGGCAAATATTGAAACACCTGAGATTACCCTGAAAGAGCCTCACTATAGAGATGGGAACTTCAAATTTGGTGACACTTTTTATATCTAAGTTCTCGGAAAATTCCTAAAAACTTCATATCTCGAAAACTACTAAGATTTGAGCAGTCATATTTAGAGGCAAGATTCGCAACCCCTGAGAATAATCTCAGTTTCCAACAAAAGGATTGAGATCTTCTCAAACTTTTCAAATTTTTTAAAATCTAAGTTTTTTTTTGAAACTTTTTGAAAAAATCAAAAAGAAAACGTCATATATCGAAAACTACAAGGATTTGAGAAGTGAGATTTGTAGGCAAAAATTGCAAACCCTGATAGTACCCTGACGGCACCCAACTACATTGTGAGAATTTCAAACATTGAGAAACTTTTAAAAGTAAATTTTCTAGAAATATTTTAAAAAATCTCGAAAATTGCTATATCTCGTAAACTAAGAGGATTTAGTTATTCATATATGGAGGTAGAATCGCAAAACCTGGGAGAGCCTTGACAACATCCCACTATTGTTTTGCTAATTTCAAACTTGATGAAATAAACACTGAATTTAAACAGGAAAATCGAAAAAAACTTGACCATTGCAATATACGATATATCTTAAACGTGCAGAAATTCTGTTGTTAAACATGGAAACATAATACGTGGAAAAGGCTAAAATATGGCGAGATAGTGAAGCACACATTTAAATATATAATAGCTTTCAAATAAAAAACCTGGATCAAAAAGAAGCTTTTATTTTGTGACCTCTATACTTTGTCCGTTCCATAGTGGAGTTTGCCTTCCTTTTAACAAAGTAAACGTGCAGAAGAAATCAAAAAACAAACCGCAAAATAAACAAATTATGGCCTGAACAAATGTACACTAGTGGGCAAAAATAAGCGCAAATTCTAGACTTTACTGTAAAATGCCCGTTTTCTATGTACATTTTGGGCAACAATTTCCTTCGCAGTTCAGTTAAAATTTTTACATTGACCGAGAGAAAATGATCAGAGCTAACATCTGTGAAAGTATCAATATTTGGTTTTAAATGACTTACCAATGTAATCCGGGTCTGAAAGTGCCAGTTTTCCTCATCTGCTTTAAGTTTTTTGATTCGCGTGAATAAGTAACAAAGGTCTGAATTTTGTAAAAATTTCACACTGATTGTTTCCATTTTCTCGCTAAGAGTGTTTCACGTTGTATGAACAATTTTTTTACTCCGCTTACTCAAGAAAGATTTCACTACGATGCAAAACTCAGAGCAGATGAGGAAATCTGGCACTTTCAGACCCGGATTACATTGGTAAGTCATTGAAACCAAATATTGATACTTTCACAGATCGTAGCTGTGGTCATTTGATCTCGGACAATGTTAAAATTTTACTGAATATTGAAAGAAATGTTGTCCAAAATGTAAATTGAAAACAGGCAATTTACCGAGTAAAATCCTGAATTTGCACTTAAATTTGTCCTTTAGTGTGAATTCTTTTCCTGAAAAAAAATCATCACGACCTATAAAACAGTTTCCACTACGTTCATCGACTCGTAGATATTTCAGTCCAGAAAAACTACAATTGGAAGATTACGTCTCAAATGGCATAATTCCCATATGGCAAAAAAAATGGAAAATTTCGCAAATGGCATAAATTTTACGCAATTGTTGCATCAGAAGCTTCATTTAGAATTTCCATCATCATGAAAGTTTTTTAAAAAATTAAGACACTTAAAAGCGAGAACAAAATCTGAATTATTTCTTAGAATTTTTGTGTGCTATTAGTTTTTCACACCATTCACAGAAAAAACGACATTTTGTTGTAAAAAAAAAACATTGTGGTCTAAGCATTCTGTGCTAATTGCACAGCAAGTGAACGCCCCCTTCGAGAGAAAAAGTGTTTTGTGTCACTTCCACTTAGTGTCACTTGAACATCAACCAGCTATCATTGTTTATTCATTGTTTTTTTCCCGATACTTAGTTTTTTATGATGCACCGTTTTGAAACTATTTACCTTCCAACAAATCGAATTCCATGTGTTCAACTGATTCGCGTGGCATTAAATTCCCTGAAGATATAAATAACAAATATAAGACTAAGGCATGTTATTAAAATCAAAAAACACAATTACCGAATGAATGAATATAAAAAACACTGAATTTCCCTTTGCTGTGTTACCATTATACAAATGACACAAAATCAGGCGGTGTACAATTTTAGTGTATCTTATAATGTATTAGCAGCGTTAAAATTGCAAATTCAAACAAACATTTTCGCACACTTCTGTGCATCCTCAGGTTTCAAAAATCCAATCTATCTGTACAAAATTATCAAAGATCGTAAAAAGTGTCATACACATGATTATTTCAAAACTTAAAAAACTTAACCAATCACAACTTCACAATTATTAATAAAATTGATTTTTTTTGGCTCAAAATCCATATTACAAGTACAAATTTATAACCACATCAAATGGAATTAACGTGGAGAAAACTCCCGGGGGCAGCGGGGCAGATGGGAATGTATCCAATGTATCCAATCATCGGTGGTGGATCAGTTCATTTACAAGAAGCGGGTCCGGGTCGCTTTTGAACGTCTCAATAATAGCTGCAGCATTTCCCATTTGCACTGCTACTCCCAAACGTTGTCTTAGATATTCAGTTGCTCTCTTCTAGAAAGAAAGAAAGAAAGAATTTATTTCTTCAGATATGATGCATACAAAAACATTTAACAATCAAACATGCGAACAAAATCTACAAAGCATCAATTAATCATCTGAAGAGGATAGACAAAGGTCAAAGATATGACCACTGGGTGTCTACAACAACCAGTTCAGTACAACAAACAAGAACTGAAAACCAGTATAAGTGAACTGAAGACAAGTATATGTAAATAAAATTAGAAGAGCCTAAATTTAAGTGTTACCTTTTGTGTTATGGTGTTGCAATTGTGCCTTTGTTATAATCTTCAAAAACCCTGGTATCTCGAAATTTCTAAAGTCTTAGAAGCTCATCATCTTTTCAGCCAGTATTCAGAGCCTCATATGAGGTTCTGACAGCATCCAGTGACAGACGTAATGAGAAAAAAAAACAAAAAAACAAAAATTTTTCTCTCTCAAATCCGTCTAAGTACATGAGAAAATCAAAATTTTCATAAAAATGTCGATATCTCGAAAACTAGCAAGTTTTAGATGCTCATATTTTCGCATTAGAATCCGAAGCTAAAAAGGGTTTCTGATAGCACACAACTCAAGGGTTAAATATTTAGCATTGAACAGAAACGGGAAATTATTTAAACACATTTTGTACTAATTCATAATTACCAAGAATGTAGTTATCTCTAAACTTATGAACAAATAGAATTTCATCATTTCTATCCATAAGTTGTGATAAATTTGTGTGATAAACTTATTAAATAGTTTCATATGTTATGACTGATCCTGAGGGAACACAGCCTGCCCCCCAGCGGCTCAACTCCACATCTGGCCTTGTGACCGCTGACTACTACCCAACCGTGGATGATCTACTTCGGGCTGACGGCACTGAGACGTTCGGAAAGCTGACTGGAAAGCTGAAAAAAGACAGCATACTTTGCCTGTTGCGCGAAGCTGTTACGCAACTTCGGGAAGCTAAGTATAATCAAAATAGTTGTACTCATGCTGTTGATGCAGGGGAAGATGCCGATAAACGTCTTGATGTTATTGAAAAGAAACTTGATGTTGTTGTTGAGAAGCTTGAAAAGACCGATCCCCAATTACCCCGAATCAAAGTTTCATCTGTTTCGTCACCGGAGCTACTTGAGAAGTTGGACGAGATCAGGATTCAAGGCATACCTGAAAGCTCTGCCAATTCTGCTAACAAGCGCTTTGAGGATGATGGGAAATCAGTGACTGATATACTTGAATATCTCGAGGCAAATTCTTCTACGGGGATTCAGGAGGTCTTCCGCGTGGGAAAACCCAATACGGATCCAAATAAGCCGAGACCTGTTATAATCAAATTCAATTCTGTTTGGTCTACAAGGAAGATTCTAAGCAAGAGTTACAATCTGAAAGAGTATTGTGATGCTGTCTATATTTCCAAGTCCCTAACCAAAGCTGGCCAGGAACTTGAAAGGCAGCTCCTGAAACGACGTCGTGAACTAATCGAAGGCGGCTATGATCGCAAGCAGATCAAAATTCGTGACCTGAAGCTTTATCTTGATGACGAGTTGCAACAACTTGAGCCAAAGCAAAATTGACTAGAGAAAAAGTTATCGATTGTCTTTTTCAATTGCCAAAGTATGCTCTCTTTGGAAAGAAGATTGAAGTTTGTTAATATGTTATACAAATGGAATTGTGATATTATTTGCTTGACTGAAACCTGGTTGACCAGCACGGTTGAATCATCGTTTGTTTTCCCGTATGCTGATTACACTGTTCTTGCTCGCTCTGATCGTAAAAATGGTGAACACGGAGGTAGCCTTATTGCTATAAAGGGCTCAATTCCTTCTACGTTCCATATTCAACCGGTTGTTTGCGAATCCCCTGTTGGCTGTGCAGTTTTATTGGTTTCAGCTTCGCTCCTTATTTGCATTGCTGTCATCTATAATCCTCCCGCTTCTTCGCATTTCAGATTATCCGTTATAAGCATTAGTGAGTTTTTGGAAACTGCACATATTGCATTCAAATCTGAATGTGCTAAGCGCGGATCTCTGCACGACAGCTACTTCCTTGTCTCGGGTGATATGAATCTTCCCAATATTGACTGGTACTCTTGCTACAGCTCCTCGAGCTATGACGCAAACTTGCTTTCTTTGTTTCATGATTATGATCTAGAGCAGCACATCTTTGAACCAACACATTGCAGTGGGAGCATTCTCGATATCCTATTGCTTAACCGTGCTAATCCTGGTGATATTGAAGTTTTGGAGTCCGATTTCTCTGATCACAAGCCTGTCAGCATTACGTTTCCTACTAAATCAGACGATGAAATTCGACCAGTAGCCTACTCCAAATCCTCCTTTGACTATACTACGTTCTCCGTGATGCTTAATTCTGGTTATAATGCTCTGCAGTATGCCCATTTGTATGATGACTTCAGCGTGGTGATTTTCTCAATTCTAAATGAGAGTGTGCGTGTTTCTTCCTACCGTAAAAGACTCAAACGTCAAAATCTGCCGTTTTATTATTCTTCACATACGGTCCACCTTTTAAATAAACTTGGCACCCAGAAAAAGCGCAATCCCATGCACGATCATAGCACTCTTGTAGACAGTCTAAATGTGTCAATGGAACTTGACAAGGTCTGCTTCCTGCAATCCTATGAGACTATGGACGTCAATTCTTGCTTCAAGATTTTGAAAAGCTTGAGCAATTCTTCTCCCTACCCAGGCACAATGCATTTTGCAAAAAGATCTGCTTCCACTACTATTGAGAAGGCAAATCTTTTTAATGACTTTTTTGCGTCTGTCTTCAAGACCTCCGGGGAGATTCAGATTACCAGCCTTAGTACTTCTTCTACCATTGAGTTGTGCAAGGTGTCTGTTAGTCATGAAAAAGTCTTACATTTTCTTCAGTCGGCAAATGACTCTGCTTCTGTCTGCTGTGACGATGTCCCGCCGGCTTTCCTAAAACATTGTGCATTTCAACTGAGTCCTCTAGTGGCTGCTCTCTATGAAGACATTTTAAAGCGAAAAAAGTGGCCCGATGTTTGGAAAACTGCGTACATAACTCCTCTTTACAAGAAGGATAGCCACAGTGATGTGTCCAATTATCGTCCCATCAGCCTGCTACCGAAACTTTCCCTCGGTCTGGAGCGTATCTTATTTGATTACATTTACACTAGCATTAGGCCGAAAATTACGAAATACCAATCCGGCTTTATGTCAAGGCGTTCAACTGTCACGCAACTGTTAAACTTCTGTGATGAGCTTTATAGGAATCACGAACTTGGTATTTCGTCTTTTGTTTTTTATGTGGATATCAAAAAGGCGTTTGACTCGGTTCCTCACCATAAATTGCTCAAAAAACTTGCGGATTTCGGTTTGGATGTTAGCTTTCTCCAATTACTTAAAAGTTATCTTTCTGGACGCTTTCAACGTGTGCGAATCAATGGTGTGCTCTCTGATTTTGTGAGCATTATGAGTGGTGTCCCGCAAGGTAGTATTCTGGGGCCGTTATTGTTCTTGTTATTTGTGAACGATCTTCCTGATTATCTCTTATCCAAGCCATCCCTCTTTGCTGATGATCTGAAATGCTGCAGTACCTCTGTTCCCGTACTTCAACGCGATCTAGATGCTGTTATCAATTGGTGTGGCGAAAATTCTCTCGATTTACATCCTGACAAATGTAAAGTCCTGAAGTTTTTTAACCACAGCTCTGAAAACCCAGATCTCTATATTGGTGATCACAAAATCGATGAATCTTTAGACGTCAAAGATCTTGGGATCATTTTCAGTTCTGATTTATCGTGGTCGCACCATGTTTCTGAAAAGTTATTCAAGTGCAACAAAGTGTACTTTATGTTAAAGCGAAATGTTCCGAGCAGTACTCCGAGACAAACGAAGGTTCGGCTCTACAAAGCATGTATTCTATCTGTGCTTACTTATGGTTCTTCTATCTGGATACCTAACAAGACCGACTTATCCAAGCTCGAAGCTTTCAACAGAAGATGTGTGAGATGGATCGGTCTGTCAGGTGATTATAAAACGTCACTGATAAAGTTAGGAATCTATCCTCTGCCATATCATATTGAAATCTCAAATCTTCTGTTTTTCCATAAACTGTTTCAGGACAAGTACGATTTAAACCCCTTCGATTTTGTTGATATAAATGACCCATCTGTATCATTACGGAGTGTTGATATATACTCTTTCAAATTAAAGAAGCGAAAATACGAGAAGACAAAGTCCTTTTATTTTGACCGTATTCCTAGACTATTGAATTTCATGAAGCTTGATGTCCGTCTATCATTCCCCCGGTACAAGCGTGAAGTTATGAAGTTCTATGATACGAAGCTACGTCAAACATTCGAAGAAAACATTCCGTGTACTTGGTATGGAAAGTGCTGCTGTACCTTCTGCCGGTCA